TTTACATTGATTTAATTACAAAAAATGTGGGGAAACTAGCAGTTTTACATTGTAAATCAAGGTGACATTTATAGGCTCATAAAAAGGAAAGATCTATCATTACAGCTCAGCAACAATGGCTTCTAGATATGTTGTCCCAGCAGGTTTGTAAGAATTGACAATAAACTCTGAACTCTGAAGCTGAGGCAAGACAATCCCTGAGTGTCCTGGTGACCACGTTAGAGACCCTGTAACAAGGAAGTGGTTCTGTTAGTCGTTTCTCTACTGACGGGGAGGAACTTAAAGGACGAGGACGTCTCCTCACAGTGACTGGGTCGCCTCTGCTGTGTAATGTCTCACAGGTTAAGCAGCTGCTACCAGCATCAGTTACAATGAGGTGGTGCTGCCCCTTGTGTGTTATAGCAGGACTTGGCAGTAAATGCAAAGCGCAAATCACAGAATGCAGTAAGCAAGTCACTCCCAGTCACACAAGGGAAGGCGGGCGCCGGTGGCATAGCTAAAATAGGTTGGCTGCTTCTGGTGGCTTTGCATTCCTGAAAATAGCTAACTGACCACTGGTTGCCAAGCAGCTGTATTCTGCTGTCGTTCCTTTAGTGCAGGCCCCAGGAGCCGATGGAAAACAATCCCCATCTCCTTACTCCAGCCATTTCCAATTAACCATGACATTTAGGCCGCTGATCGCGTGTCCCAAAGACTTGGGTTATTTTTCTCTGACATCGTTTTTCTAAAGGTTTATCTTGGTAAGAGAAGGAGCTTTTAAAAATGATGCCCCAAATTTAAAAGGATCTCTGTTGTCTCACAGGCAGTTTTGTTTTGTTTTGCTCTTGCTCTTAAAATCAGTATCAGATGTAAGCTTGACTTGTTGGTCCCACTAACCACCATTCTTAGACGTTCCATGTGTCTACGTAGAAGGGCAAAATAGTACTGGCAGACACAAAACATGGCTGTGAATACTTTTTATTATGCATAGTACTGGGGAGGTAAAATCTGAAGTTCACATTAATGTAAGGGAAAATGTGTGTGTGTGTGTGTGTGTGTGTGTTACGTATGTATGTATGTATGTATGTATGTATGTATGTATGTATGTATATGTATTAAGTTGGGATCAGAGGAGTAAATTGTTGTTTTATAGAAACCTGAAACCTTGGGTACTACAACGCTATGTTCGGATGGCAGATACAGCCACTCATTATACTTGGAGATCGCTGGAATGCCCAGTTTTCTTTACGAGATTGATGTTACAGCTACAGAGTGGTGTGGAGCCATTCGGACCCGGGCGGTTTGATATGGCGGGGTGAGATGCTCACTTGGGCTACAGATCTGAAAATCTCACTCACCCAGCATATTTGTCAGCTTCACACCACCAAGCCCCTTTATCTGGTGACCACCCTGAAATCGAATCACAGCTTCAATTCCTTTTGTGTTTAATATTCAGCAGGAGCAAGTAAGGAAACGTAGCTGCCATCAGACATCTTCATTACCTCCCAAGCGGGCCCCCACGAGGGACTTCATTCTCAGTTGCCTAGAAACCAGTATAATGGGGGACTAAACCTGCCTGTTTTTTTGTGTCTGGTCAGTATTGCAAAATATTTAACAGATCACTTATAGTTTGTGCTTATTTAAATCTGGGGTTCCATGCAAATTAGCTATAAATATACTACCAGGATGGAGTCAGCGTCTCTATTTTTTTTTCATTCATCATTTTATTGGGGGGGGCTCTTACAAATCTTAAAGCAATCTGTCATTCAATTGTGTTAAGCACACTTGTGTATATGTTGCCATCAACATTTCCAAAACCTTTTTCTAGCTACTTGAGCTCTTGGTCCACGGCTATAAATCTTTATTGGTTTTTTTTTTAAAGAGCCATTTGGAGGAAGTATTATTAGTGAGATAACCTGTTTTGTCTTTGTCTTTTTGTTTTGTTTTAATATTACTTCATTTCTTGCCACCTGCCCTCTTCCTGGTTACTTAAAATACTGGCCTTTTGAACCAGGGGGGAGGACAACGAGTGGAGGCTACCACTTCCTTCATGTGCCAGACTCTGGATGTCACTTGCTGTCCCTCTGGTGATGGGAGGCACAGTTGACCAAATACCAGACTGCTTCGTGGACATGGGGGTCACCCGAGTCTGCGCTCTGCGGTGCCGGCTGAAGCCTCCATTTGTGGGGGGAGCAGGCAGCGAACATCTCAGGTTGTAAACTCTTTATGGCAGCAGCAACTCCTACTAATTATTTAAACGCTGTGTCCCCACCTGTCGCTCCTGCCAACTCTCCTCGCCCCCTGCTGGCCAGGGGCTTCCGCTCTCTGCTGACTGGCAGCTCCTCCCCGGGCAGGGCCTGGGCCTCGGACAAGCAACCCCAAATTCTCTCCAGTGTGAACCGTTACAGAAGAAACCAAGGAATGGGTTTATTGTTCCCCGGAGGGAGAACCCTCTTAGCAACCAGATGTGTTGTGTGTGTCGTTGTTTTTTTAATCGCTTGAGCAAACACCGTTCTGAAGTTGTGTTAGTTTCTGCTGGGTGCAGTGGATTTGGACGATTTCTCAGAATCAGATGAAGGAGGGCGCTTCTGTTCTCACCGGCTTCTGATGTGGCTCGTTGGTTTGTGGTGAAATGGCAGACGGGCCCATGCGAGAACGTTGTGGACACGCCTGGACACTGGCGCTTCTGCGGCTCCTCACTTGACCTGAAAACACCTGGTATTGCATGCTCATCTCTTCTTGTTCCAGTGAAACCTCTGTGTACACCCAAGGTATACACACCCAAGGTATACACACCCAAGGTATA